AGAAGGTAGCGGCAAGAATGCAGTGGTCACTCCTTAGGTCTACAGCAAGGTTCATCCACTGGGTCTTCTTGATGTTCCTTACAAATGTAAGGTCCGGGGTGGAATCCCTGCAGCAAAATGTACCAAGCCTTGTTGGTAGGCTGGGGTCTGTGATTAGGGTGAGATAAAGTTCACTGGCACTTTGCCAAAGTCGATTTCCTTTCCCAGTGTTGTACTTGTAACCCCATGTATGATGAGGGGCGTTGAAATCACCTGCTATGACGAGTGGACATTCCCCGGCGATATTAACAGCTTTCTTTACAACCGTCTTGAACCCTTGCTCTTGTTCCTTTGGACTGCTGTATATATTAAGAATGAAAATGCTCAGACGGTTGCTGGTACCTGGCACGATCTCTATCATTACGTGTTCCATCCGGCCTGCTTCTATCTTGATGTCGTGAGTTACGTGCGTTAGTTTGTTGCATACGAAGGTGCAGACTCCCCTCCCTTCAGTATCCCCTATTACAGGCCGGTATCCAGGCAACGTTGCTTGCGGTGAAAGAATCTCTTGTAATAATATAATATGAGGCTTTTCTTGGCTGCTCCTGATATACTGCTGTAAGGCTGCCTTCTTTTTAAGGTAACCTCTACAGTTCCATTGCCAGATGCGAAATACTTCACGTAGCGCTGCCATCATGGTTATTACATGGGCGACCAGAGCCTGATGCTGCACCTGTCGACAGGTTTGGTACCACTAGTATTGGTGGCCGAAGGGGTGAGTTTGGTGCATAGGAGGCCTTGCTGTATTGTGCAGATATGCTTCGACCTTTGGAATGCGCAAAGTCATATGCTATTCCAGTGCCGCCACGCTTGACTGTATCCTACTCATCTGCTCGCTAAGATTGGCTACTACTTTGCTGAGCGTGTCAAAGACCTCTTTCACATCTGACATGCTCGTTTGGTTGGCTTCCACGTGTTCTGCCATGACTGCTCTCTTTTTTGTGGTTCTCGAGTCTCCCACGTTTTTAGCCACAGGGACATCGACTGGCTGGGGCATTGGCTGTGAAGACTGCGCGCTGGTTAGCTTAGTGAGAAGAATTTTTATTTCCTTTAACTCAGCTGATAGCCTGTCATTCGATTTTGTAAGTCTCGCGTTTTCTTGCTCTAGCTGTGCAATTCTATCCTGCTCTGGCAGTTTACCTGTCATCACCTCTGCCGCGCCGTTGTGCAATCGCTCAGCCCAGCTGCCTTTCGATGCAACTGCAGGCGTCCTCCCCGGGTGTGAAGCCGTGATCTCGAACTGAACGCCAGGCAGCTGGCCATTCGGGTGCCGCCCAGGCTGATCCCGACCCTGATGGTGACCTTGAGAACTCGAGCACCGCCGTGATTGGGAGCGGGCCTTGGGTCTAGAACCTCTTCTGGAACGCGACCTCCCCCTGGAGTGGGGCCGCCTTTCCTGTTCTTGAGTAGTCTGGATGCTCTGGGTCCCGTAAGCTGGAATAAGCTGCTTGTAGTTGATGTCTGGACTCGATGTGATTGATGCGTCCCGGACTTCTGCGGCTGCTCGCGATCTTTCCCAACGTCTGCGTCTGACGACGTATGGCACTAAGAACCTGTTCTTGCGCTCTTTGTCTGCCATGGGATGGCGACCGTCACACAGCCTGCATCTTGGATTGCACTGGTGCAGGCTATCTTGGTTCTTGATCTCGCAGCCTCTGCAGATGGTTTCAGCTGGGTTCGGACAGACGTCAGACCGATGTCCCCACTTTCCACAGACGTAACAAATATCGATGTTCTTGCGGTAAAGGGAGCATGCACTGCAAAAGTGAAGGTCCATATCTCACGAATCTGGGCACCTTGTGTCCTTCGAACGCTATGATGATTGTGCCGGTGTCCTTGATTCTCTTGGCCTGCAGCGCGAGCAGGTTGTTCGCGTTCACAATCTTTCGGGTGAAAATGTCCTGAGTATCGCTTACGGGGATCCCGTGAATCACTCCTTTACAAGTGCCGTGGCGTACGCGCTAACCTCGAAAACTTTGCCTCCAATTTCAATTTGCTTGACCTTGAGGTATGTTGAAGCTCTCTCTTGGTCCGGAGTGCTTGCCACCATAATGTCCTGCTGCAAGTTGGAACAGATGATGTCCTGCATGGCCTCCTTCTCTTTGATGCCAGCCGCCAGTACTATCACGTCTGCCACGGCTCCAGTGCCGATTCTCGAGATATTTAATCCTCCACGTGGTCGTAGCACAATTTTGCTGAAGTCCTTGGGTAGTGGCGGCATGCGTCCAGCTCGCACGATTGTATGCTTGGTATCATACCTACTACGACTGGTTCGAGCGTCTCCCGCAACGCCAGCCTTAGTCGAACCCTTGGCAGCAGGAACGCTAACCGTGGCTTGCTTATTCCTTGAGTGTCTCGTGTCGGCTTCCTTCCAACCCATGTCTCCCGTGCAATCCTCTGGAGAGATGTCCTCTCCATCTACTTGGTATTCCATTCTCAGTTGCAGGTTCTGGAACGTGCAGAGCGTTGAGTCACGTTGGCGCCGGGTCGGCGCATCGGCGGCAATCACCTCCTTGGTTGTTAGGCTTAAATCCCCCGGTAGTGTTGCGGTGCAAAAATGTCCAAAAACGGTTTAAAAGTCCACTCACCAGCACAAAGGTGGTATCTGCTGATTTCTTGAGAACTTAAGCACACGATGGGACTGAAAACTCGGCGACAAATTCGTGAATACCACAGGAAAGCATTCTTGAAAGCAGGAGCCGGTCTTCGCGCGTCCGCACTGGTCGGCACCTCAGAGCATCATCCCCTTGTATCCTGCTGGACGTGGCTGAAATGTACTGGCCTGAGTAAAAAAAAAAGAATGGCTGTCGATTGATGGAAAGGGGTGTTCTTCTGGGACATTCTGCAGAGAACTATCAAAAGATATTTACCGATAGATACCCACGGGATCAGGTTATTATTACCAGTTAATGGAGAAGACGATGGAGCACCTTATGATACTGTGATGACATGCTCGGGCTTCACAGTATCTGGAAAAAAAGTACAAGGCTGTCCGCCATGCCGACATCAATACACTGCGCATCCTTGAATATTTCTGTCAAATAATCACGAAGTTTATTGAAGAGTTGTAAACTAAAGACCCAATTCCAGAGCGACTCGAACATCTTGAGCCACTCAAACGTTAAAAAGAATTCTAGTCACTATATAACCTTGAGTTCATTACCTCTGTATGTACTGTTTATGCACTATGTTATGATGTGCAAAAGTAAGCAATAAACAATTAAAAAAAACCGGTGTAGCTCAGTCGTAGAATACTGGGGCTAACATCCAGTGGACCCGGGTTTAGCCCCACTTAATCACTGCTGCTAGGTTTTCTCTTTTTTTTTTTAATTTCGCGCGATGTGGCTACAGCCACCGGTGGCGGCAACTGCACGTGAACCGAGTTGTGATCTCGTTCTTGTTCACCTATCATCCGTGGCGCATACGCTCTATGGAGGATTGGCCAAAAATTGAGTGGCTTTAAAAAATATGGTCATGATTTAGAATAATGGAGATATAATAGAAAGATTAATGATGACCTAGAAAATTGCTGTGCTTGATCTAATGCATATAAATATTTAAATAAAGAACAAACTTATTCCTAAAATAGAGCAATACTCTGATTTTTGCTCATAACACCTGTCGCTGTGAATGACATTCTTCACCGGTGGTATCTGTTGCCCCTGGCTGATTCCATTGTTTCATCTTAAAAAGTGAAGCATGACAGCACGGTGGCTTACCCGCTATGAAAGGCGCTCATGCTTGAATCTATGATAGCACTCATTAAGCGTGGCTGACATTCTTAGAAAAGTTTTTTTTTCTTCCTCGTTTCTAATTACAATGACAGCGATTACGGCCAACAAGTGCCCCACTGCCGTTTCGCGATCTGAAAACAGCTTTGGCTATAGCCTCCCCATTGAGCATTGCAGTAGCCTGTGGGAATACGTAATTTGGACATGCTGGTGACTGTTGGCTCGAGAGCGGCCAGCTGGGAAACCACGTATATAAAAAGTGACCGCTTGTGCCTGGCATCGGCTAAGTCTACCATTCTCATTTTCCTGTGCTGTGAACAAAACATATAAATATTCACTTAGCGGTTGAAGGGCGCACTAGGGGTTGGATGTCGCTATCACTTTCAACTCTTAAACGTGAAGGTTAAGGGTGCTTCATTTTTTTTTTTTTTATTGTATGGTTCTCCCGGTTCAATGAAATTTTTCCGGGACACAAGTTGCTCGACCAGCCACAAATCGAACCCCGCTAACTGTTAAATTGAAGTGACAACAGTTTTCTTTTTATCTTTAAAATGGCGCGAAAAAAAAAGTACAGGCGACAGCAACTGTCCTTGCATTCATTTATCGCGCTGTCTCTAACGGGAAAATACTTATCAGCTGGACCGCATTCAGAGTCTACATTACGGGTTTTCCTGCTCATCTGACAGCTAAAACGATTGTAAACGCACCAAATTCTACCTAAGTAGGGCGGCTATATTTAGAAGGTGTGAAAACTGGCCGCTCCAAGCCCCCAAAATATAAGCACATCTTGGCTGTTCAAACATGCATCTTCGAAGTGAACAAATGACATGACGCCAGTTATTTCGTTCTAGATAACGCATAACGACGTTCTCCTTTTTTTTCTGCAGAAGGATCGACACAATTTTGTTTTTTGTCCTGAACTTTAGATGAGATTGTTTTTATCGGGTTGATTACCGAATGCCAGTGCCCTCCTCGGCCAGGCCACTGTTTTAAATATTCAAAATTACCGCTGGTAGTTGAGCGCCATCTTCCGAAATTTTAAAGGAACAGCGCTTTTTTTCTGGAATTTGTGGTTTTCTAAAACAAATCGCTTAACCTGTTAATATTGATAAGAAGAAACCGTGAACACAATTTAAGCCTTTGATTAAGAGCAGTTTTTGTTATTGGAAACAAAAAACAAAAGAGAAAGGCAGGTGACGAAATGCGAGACGAACGGACGAACATGCGCGCAAAAGTCATCATGGCGGCTCCGCCGCCTCGCGTTCTGCGACGCAAACAAGAAAAAACAAGGCGTATTCTGTGTCGAGCCGGTCCGGTGTCGGCGTACGCCATCTCGAGGAGACGCATCCTGTGCGCGTACCGCGTTGCCACGGCACTTCGAGAAGCTCCGCTACGCTACGAGGATCAACGTTACACGCTCGTCACGCCACTGAGCCAGCTCGTGTAGTGCCTACTGCTTGCGGCGCCTGGAAGCACGTGGCATCGACTGTGAGTCCTCGGCTCGCGTTGTGCGTGAACGTGCATTTCTTCGTCGTCTTCTCGAAAAAGAAACAGTCGGCCACTGCATTTACCACCAAGCCGGGTGAGTATCGACTCCGTTGTTCGCGTAGACAGACGTACTCTCTTGGTCAGGTGAAGCCGTGTCGCGCGCTTGCAGACGGTCCGTGCATCTTCGGAGGGCGCCAGCAGAAGACCTCGCGACTTCGGGGCGCACCGATGCGCTAGGGTTAACTCCTGGCGCCGTCCGGCGAACTTGTTTATTGCCGTTGTTTCACCGTGACACTACCGCCTGCTGCAACCCATTTGACAACGCCTTCTCGCCGCGCGCGTCTAGCTAAACCGAGCAACTGCTAATCCAACTGTTACCAACTCTTTTCCAAGTTACATCCATCAGCTGATTCGTTCCCACCCGCGCTCATTCATTCAGGTAAGCTCTCGATCCTAATTTCAGAAGTATTCGGTTTGAATCGCCCTTGACTTGTATGTCGCATCACAACCGGCCCTTTTTGAACCAAATGCAGGACGATTGCGGCCGGTGTAGTGGCGTAAGGTAAACAAGATTGCGATAAACAGAATCCTCAGGTGTGAATCGCCCTGTCTAGCAACCTGTGGGTCCGCCGAACGTTTGCGCGTTTTCTTCGGTTTTGAAACTCGCTCAACTTTGAACCCTCAGTCGAGTGATTTCGTTCGCGAGCCCTTGATGAACAACGGCAACTTTCCGTTAGGCCAAGACGGCGTACAACTTTTCGTCCTACAACGATTGTAAAGCGTCATGCTCAGAACGTTTTCAATAGCGAAGGCGTGGGTACGTCCGCATTTCGGTTTGATGGAAATGCAAATGCACCCGCGTACATAGGAACGCACTTTACACAAATTTAGATCGGCAGAATCAGTCGGGCCGTATCCTATCTTCGTTTCGGCGCGCAATTTGTTGTTTATCTCGCCGCTAGCCTATTTCAGTGTACAGTGACATCAGTGACTATTTCAGTGACATCAGGAGCATTTGTAATGCTCCTGATGTCATAATAAAATCATTTCTGACTCTGACTCTGACTCTGACAGTACGTGAGGGAGCTGTTCCTTATCGCCAACTTAGTCGCGGAAACCAGATGGAATCGCGATTTTATAAATTGAAGATCATTTTAAAACACTTTTGCCGCTAAGTTGTCTTAATCGAAGGTCAGACGACTTCCAACTAATCGGATTCGTTTCTGCTGCCGTATGCGATGTTTACAGCGGTGAACTGACCATAGGTCGCAGTTAGCGGCTCTTACTGGAATAATTGGGTATGCTGTGTGTCTGTAGTTTCAGTGACTATTACCGAGATATTTGACGGTGTGTTGTAACCGCTTTGAGAAAGCACGTTTCACAATGATTGTGTCTTTAAGGGTCTGTAAGAAGCTACACAGATGTATATTAACGCATGTATCGCCGTTGGTGTGAAATCTTCACGTGTTCAAATCAATTTTAAACAAGTAACGCAGATTAACACGTGTATGTGCCCTCTGAAGAGATACAAAATACCAGCCACAGACAGGTCAAGGCATGTTGGCAGTTGCAGTGTCTGAGTGATTTGCTGTTAAAAATGTTTGAGTTAACAAACAGTTTAGCTAAGTTGGCCTGCTAGGATGAATATTGTCACGTGCGTCCCGGGAAAAAGACGAAGGCGACAGCGCATCTGCACGCTTTTATGCAGAACGCAACGAGAAAGACGAGGAACTCTCTCGCGCACGCGGCTAATAAAAAGACCGACCCGCTGCTGTTTTCTCAGCGTCTTCAAATACGACCTCTGTCTTCACGTCTCGACAATATGTAGCCAGGGAAGAAGTTCTACCACTTCAATGTTGATCACTTTTACGACAACAATATCTGTGATGTTGTGCAGTCTGTGTGCTAAGCTTAAGGGGTACTGACACCATTTTTGGAAGGTGCGTTTACCCCACCGTACAAATCTGTCTTACACAGATGACTCTGAGCAAGTGTGAAGCTTGGCAAATACGGATCTAATTTTGATATTAAAGTAAATTTTTTTATAGGCGTACATACCGTCATCGACACTGGCCGTACGTTGGGCTATGACGCTAATCCTGGTGGCTTCACGCAGCAGTCTCGCTACTTGTGATAATATCAGGTAGCAAAACTTCCATTATAGCCACTTTTGAGTCATCTAAACATTCAAAATGGCCACTTGTGCGTCACCAGCAGTGCAACGGTGCGGAGTGTCTGTGGAAACCTGACGATATCTTGCGTGAGCACATGAAAAGAAGCTCATATTGTGTTGTGAAGTTGGCATATATTTCAGGGTGCACCCTTGCTTAGGGTTACATTTTCTAGGCACCCTTAGGTCTTAGGTTTTCATTTGATGCATAAGAACCGAACATTTTTTTGTCAGTACTACTTGAAGAGCTCATTTGATTCCTTTGAGAAGGCTTAAGAACTGGCAAGATTACTTTGCTCTTTTAATGGGCACAGGCACAATTTTTGAGTTTATTCTTCCTGTCAGATCTCCAGTATACAGAGATGTTTTTAAGCAAGTCTGAAGTGCAGAAAAATGTTGATATTTTATGTTAGTCTATTTCTACATTTTGCACGTACTGTTGCTTGTGGGTCATCTCACTATAGTACCAATTCTGATAACATGCCCAATACAGTTAAGTTTCGAATCATAGCTGTATCCACTTTTCGCAGGATGTTTTTTGCTCACCAGTGCGGAAAAGTAATTCATGGTGTCTTCAAAAAAAAAAAAAAGGAGCGCTGATGCAGTAACTTTGCATATTGTTTTTAAAGATGATAGTCTTTCTTGGGGACCTTCGACACAAAAATTTTTGTCTGTCTGTACATTTGTCTGTTTGTCCACTCTTAACTTGAAACAGCCGATCTCATCCAGAGCCCACAAATGTTGCTCAAGATTGAACGTTCATGCTTGTGCAATTGTCAATTAAAAAGCAATAATTGTGCTTGTCTGGGACACTATAACAACACGTATATTTTCTGCATGTGCGTCTTTTACTAGAAAAGGCGTACATAAGTAATTTTAAGGACCATAGCGCTTATCACACTCCGCTGACCATGCAACGCTTGCACGGAACGGGGACTGTTTCCAACGCTTTGCCAAGACGACACGGTGGTGGCACCGGCCCTTTGCCTTGCGTTCTACGCCTTTTCGCCTCTGAGATGGGCACGCACACCCGTCTCATAGCCATGTGCTTTGTTTTTTAAGAAAACTGCCAGATGGCGCTCATGTCTCACGTGTGACGTGACTTGATGCACTCGTTCGCCTCCGCTGCACACTCGAGGCACTCTAACGCAGCGCCTCCAGAATACCACTCACCGATTTTCTTGCGCAGAACATCAAATAAATGTCTTGCTCACTCTCTTCACACGCAAGACTACCGTCTTTCGGCGACATTTGCAGAAACATGCAGATATGAGGCCAATTTATTGTCTTGCAATAGTAAGCTAACCTTCTACTTATCACGGCTAGAAAGCTCATTTTCATTAGCTTGTGATGGTCAATTATTTGGAAATGGTTTTATAGCGCTCACTCGCAGTTTGTTTCAGAGAGCAAGAAGTGAGGCTATGCCCAGAGGGCTTTTCAGGTAAACGTAGCTGCTATTTGAGCACACAAAAGTGCGTGCACACAACCATCACGTTCACAGCTCCTTTCAATAAGCGCTTCTCGGGTGCTACTACAGTTCCCTTTGAGACATTAAAATACGTGACCCCACCAAAATGCGCCGCAAAGGCGAGGACATCAGCTTTTGCCCAAGCCTTCCCCCAGTGATGGAAGTGCTGCTCCAATAGCTCCAAACTGCTCCAAAAGAGAAATGCTGCTTCATGCTGCTACAAAGTGCAATATTTGCTAGTAACTGCTCCAAGCATGCTCGGAAAGGATGTTGGAAAACTAAAAAAAAAAAAAAATGAAGTCGAACCATGGGACCATCCCGTGAGCCTAAGTGAAGCAAAAAGGATGCTGTATAAACTATCATCTTGGTATGCTACTCAGGGGTGTAAATCCAGAAAAATCTCAAGGGGTGACACATATCAGGCTATTGTGCCCAATTCTTATTTTTAATCGGAGATGTATTTTTATTTATGTCGGAATTGAATCATGCTTGCAAATAAAATTAAAAATAATAGCATGGGGTCCAAGCTTGAGCAATTGCATTGTTCTATTCAGTGTCTTTTTTTCACCTTTTTTTCGATTTCCATAGTTGACGCAGCTGAAGGGCATTTACCACAGGTACGTAGTAAAATATAAAAAGCCTTTTAAAAAGTTGATTGCTCTATACTTGACTGTTAATTATATCACATGCTAAAGCTAAATCTCAAGTGGGACACTTGCAAGGGGTGTCATCCACAGCCACACCAGAAAAATCCCGACTCTCTTGACCTCCCCTCCCCTCGGCCCATGATTTATGCCAACTCTATTGCTTGTATACTAGGTATATACTAGCATACAGCATGTTTAATGATAAATATAAATATTTATTAGATGCGAAGTGATGTTTTAGACTTCAGGAGTCGTTAAAAACATGCATCTGCTCCAAAGACACTTGAGCCTGCAACAAAACACCATTTTTTTCTGCTCCAGAATCTGCTTCGAAAAGCAAAATGTCGCTTCCATCACTGCTTCCCCCTCTTTCTCTTGAGAAGGTCTGCTAGGAAAGAGTGCCACTAGGATCACTAAATATGTTCTTGGACGTACTATTTGGCAACATTTTGTAGATTATGTATGTGTGGGCACATACATATCCCACAAGTTGACTCTCGTACAAAATATTGTGTCAGTACTCCTTTAAACGTTTTCCTTCTGTTTTCTTTCTGTCTGTGTCTTTCGGAGGCAGTCTGCGTGGAGCTACAGCCCTACAGTTTCTACATGTGAATTTGAGATAGCTTTTTTTCTTGTAAGGTAAATGTCAAATTTTCGTGACACTGTGTTGCTACAACTTACTGCCTGAAAACTGTGCACGTTGCATGGGGGGACCTTGTAGAGACATTTTTCTCTAAAAATTGTATGTCTATTTGCGGAGAAGGCTGCTTTCTGTTAGAACACGCCTTGAGTATCTATATTTTTGGTTGTCGTCGGAACTATGAACAGTGAAATTAGAAGCGGTGTCCTAATGAACTTGTTGTGACTTGCATGTCCTCAAACCCAGAGAGACCGTTTTTTTAATGAATTGTGGTTGCCTCGCTATCATTGGCAGGAAGAGTACATGAAATGCGCGTGGCACAGAAATTTTTTTTTCATTTTTCTTCGGTGCCTCTACACCATCGCTTCCACAGGGTGAAACTCTATGGCATCATTAGACAGTTCTAGTTTCGCAGGCTTGTCGCAATAACGAGATCGAAATGCGCATACGCAGTACGCTAAAAGACCCATAGTGTGTACCGTACGTACACTATTCTTCAGGTTTAGCGTTACCAAGTTTGCGTGGTCTACGCAGTGTACGTAAAACATGATGGCAGTTTGAACGCCCGCTTTTAACTGAAGTTTGCCTTAGTTGACGCAGATCCACCTCTTTTGCAGCTAACGACTGTGCATAATGGCTTTGCTTGAGTTCAAGTAGCTATGACGACCGAGCATTATGAATAACTTAGCCTAGTTTTAGGGGCAAAGCTCCTTAATATAAGGCGTGGGTCTGTCCGTCCCTTGTATATATGTAGTAGTACGTAGCCACCGGTGGCACATACCCACTTTAGAGTGGGTATGTGTCACAGGGGATGCAAGATGGGAGATGGCGGTACTTGGACTGTTCACTAAGTATTTAGACGGACGGGCGGACAGACAGACTATCAGACGGACGGATGGATAGACGCTTGGACGGATGGATGGACGGACGCATGGATGGACGCATGGATGGTCGCACGGACGGACAGAAGCAAAAACGAACGGACGAGCGAAAGCACAGACGGGCTGACGGACGCTTTGCCCCACTCATCATCATTCACTCCCTGGATATGCTGTGATTTTTTTTAGACAGCTTCCCATTTCAAACTTCCCTAGGCCAAACTAGAAGATCGGTGTAAACAAGTGTGCAGCATGAAAATTTGTTTTGGTGCGTAGTTCATATTTGTGTATTTTTGTTATTACTAAAAAGAATATTGCTGTGCACTGGGATATAGGGCGAGAATTTTCAGTTAGTTGTTTTAATGCGTTCATCCTTTGCTAGGTGCGCCACCATCACAGCTTGAGCACGTAAATGCTATCCTGATATACTATAACACGCTGCCTGCATTGAACGTATTCGGCAGGGTAACTCTATTCCTTTAACCTCTGCTATCACGCTTGCGTTAGACTATAACTGTCTATTATGCTGTTTTTTTAATTAGCAGAATTATAGTGCATGTTGTTAAAATGCATGGTTTAGTGTTATTTTTATTTTTATTAATTTTACTCCCCTGAAACTTCTGGTTTCAAAAGTCACTCCTATTATCGTCATTAGGTGAAATGTAGTAGTTAATACATGTGGCAGGTCAGCAAAAAAAAAAAAAGCTTCAATCAAGATTTCAAGGCCTTAATAAACTATTGTCAGTCACTTCTTGTGCCCATGTAAGAGAAGAATATGTAAAATGCGTCATTTTTGTCATGCCATGTTTGAGGTGTGCTTTCTGCCTTGACTTGACAGTCTGCCCATATTTCCCTCTCCCGTGCTCTTTCCAGTGTCCAGTGGCTTGGGTTACCCACCCTAGCCATGGAGCCGGCGGCACCTGCAGCCGCAGCAGCTCCCGCTGCTGCTTCTGCTTCTAGTGGTGTGGGCAGCGGCGGAGTATCCTCGACCGACTCCATTCGAACTTTGGACTCCGTGTCTGAGCTCTTCCGGCTGCTGGAGCAGTGGGAGTCCCAGAATGGCACTGGGGCTGACCCCATTCCCGTGCTGACGAGGTATGTTTCGTCTTAACCACTTACAGCTAAAGAAGCCAATAGACACTTCAGCCGAAGAGAGCATAGGAAATACTATTGGCAGTGTAATTATTTTGACACAACCTGAAAGAAGTTAAAGCGAATGAAAATCATCATTTGTGTCTTTAGGATCTGAACCCACAGCCTTCAAGTTCAAAAGCTTTGGGTTTGATTTGAATTTGGCATTTTGATTTGAAATAATTGACAAGTGCCATTTCATCCTGAAGGGCCATTGATTCAGAAGGCTATTTAACTAGCTGTGTCCACACGGCAGTGTGCACTTCCCCTGATTAGGTGGTTTCTGTACATTGCAGCCCCATGCTGCCGGGTAACCTCCTTTTCAGGCACGGTATGATGTGGTGAAATATGTCAATTCATTCATTTCAAATACTTCTAGATTTTGGGAATTTTATATTCATGCTGAAGTGAATTTGAATAGTCTTGGTGTGGCCTGGATTCGTCTACAAAAACTGTTACGAGCACTATCACTTTAGAGAAACAAACTCAACTCGCTGCCCCAGATTAGTGGTAGTGACGCTTGTGCCGTTACACCCTACGGCTTTGTCGTCACAACAGTCTACATCTCACCAGGAGCCCTGTGGACTGATGTCATGAACTTTTGCTGCACAACTTCGGTGCGGTGTGCCTATAGGATGTGCCGGTGATAGTCACTGGAGACATCAACGTTAATGTACTTCGACGTGAAAACCAATGGCTTGTCACATTTCTCGATGAGACTTCGCCTCCTGTCAGACGTTGCGTCACGCAGTCACAATTCACAACACCTATTTTGATACTGTGGTTACTGCATTACTGTCAATTCAAGTACAATCGACCATGTTCAGTACATTTCGTATGGTTGCTAAATCTCCTAGCCTAGCTTCGCATAATAGTCCAATGTGTTGCTATCGCATTAGTTGCTTCAGCCTTGTGTCGAAACTAAAAATGATAGGTTGGTGAATGGGAATACAAGATTTATTTATTTAATTTATTTTCTGCAGACGTTTGCATTGGCAAACCTAGTATTAAAGACAGAGTTACAGATTTGCTCTAGAACTCGTCGTTTCTCATTTTTGAATTTCATGTTTGCGTCCAAAAAAAAATGAAACAGTACTGAGGGAAACATTTAATTTGTCCATCTCCCAGAAAAGCCAATATGTGTGTTGTTTTTATCTCTGCAGCATCGCGGAGCTCGTCGAGAAGGAGACTGAAGCGTACCTCAAGATGGACCCAGACCCTTTTGACGATCGACATCCTAGTAAGTGGGCAGCCAGCGATTTGCATTCGAAGTCTTTAGTGTGGAGTTTTTTCTCACCTATCGATATTGGCATGCACACTTTTATTATTTTTTGTTTGCATATCTCTTTAAGATGTGAATTATGGCACACTGTCTCCAAACGTGTCAAAGTCACTGATTATAATTTCAAGGCACTTGACATTACATTCCGAAAAACAAAATGAAGGAATGCAGTGTTTTGTGTGAACTTCACTAAATAATCCTAACTAGCATATAATTAAATAATTAATTATTCTTCAGCAAATTGTGTTCCATTTTTACTTAAAGAAAATGAAGTTGTAAGCTCAAAATGTGTGTGAAATCGCTCTTTCATTGCATTTATTTGGCGCGAGGAAAATAAAACTTTTGATATTGGTTCGGGAATTCGGCACATTGAAGGGCTTCGGAATATCACAGTCTCTTCCCGAAAGCAATCGGTTTAGTCATGCGTATCACATCGAGACAGTGGCATTGCCAGGGGGTAGCACACTGCCCCCCCCCCCCCCCCCCTTAAAATAAAAAAAAAAATCCCACCCCCACCCACCCTCCCCGAAAAGAAAATTTCTGCCTACGCTCCTGCAATTAGGTCAAGTCGGGACATATGGACTATGCAGATAATTGATCTAATCCAAAGAGCAATGTATCTTGCTCTTATGAAGGCACAAGAAACACTGCTCTCTAACCTCATTTAATAAAGCTGCATCTTACACGAAAATAACCTCACTATGTCTGAAAAATCGTTATAAAAGTATATCCCTAATACTACAGCTATTGTAAGACTATTCCTAATTTACTTTGTTATAACCAATATTTTGTTACGCTTGGGTTCGTTATATCAGGGTCTGAGTGTATAGGAAATGTTACTCCTGCCGCAGAATTACTTAGTTATACTTGAACATTCATTTTTCATTCGAACCCCTTCATAAGAGACTGATTTAACAGGCATTTGAATATATGAGACACCAGGGTGTCTACGTTGGAATAGGGGTTCGATAAGAAAATGCATACAAGTACCCAGCTTATAAAAGACATCTTATAAAAGGCGCAAGAATTGCTTCCCTGTGTATGTCTCCTATAACAAGGTTCAAGTGTAAACGTATATTAACACTGTATCAGTGGCAAGGCTTTGTTCACTTTGTTTTAACCATGATCTATTATACCGGTGTTTGTTATACAGTCAAGCCTCTTTAGTATGTATCTGCTTTAAGCATACCAACGGTTAAGACATAGTTGCAACGAATCCCCAATGGAGTCTCACAGAGACTACTGCGTTCGCGGATTGCTTAAGGCGTAGTGTTCGTCTTATGCCTACCAATTAGTGCTTACCTATTTGTGTACCGCGATAACATATTGCGCCAGAAAATTTCAGTGCGCCCCTGAACTTGCAGACGCCACAATATGCTGTGAACAGTTTTCCGTCATGTTGATAAGTGCGGAGGTCAGCCAATCAGTTATTCAGGTCAGACTTCCGTGCAGCTGTAGCGAGGCGAGTATTCATCCGGAAAACTAAAGTGAGGTGGTGACCACCGACAAACGCGCCAGTATGACTTATCGCCACGGTAAGCCTTATCACAGTATGCGAATCCCCGGCTATCTTCTCGGACCCGCGTGTGCTGTAGCGTCACGGGGAGATACTACTCGAAGACACTTTTTTTTTTTAATATTCACCCTATAGCAATGAAACTTGAGCTGTTTATAGAACTTTTTATGCTGATTTCAAATATATAATTAGTTTCCTTGCAAGTTGCATACTTATAGCTCTGCAGCATGACAAAATGAAAAACTTAAGCCTTTTGCCCGCCCTCTTTTCATCCCTGAACTTCTGTACTTTTTTACCATTCATAGTTCATAGTGTCTGAAATAAAGTGTAGAATGCAAACAACTAATCAAGATATTGGGCAGTACCAGCGTACAAACTCACGGGACAAAGAGACACATACAAGCACTGTTTGTATCAGCACTTGTTTGTGTCTCTTCTCTTCGTCCCGTGAGTTTGTGCGCTGGTACTACCCATAATGTATCACCAACTAGCCCAACTATCAGTCCTGCTTCTTCTAATTAAGAAGCACATACAAGATATCTAATAGGTGTGAGAAATAATAGATGTAAAAAGTCCATATTTCACCTATCTTAGTGAAGGCTTACATACAATTTCTTTTATTATACAATAAAATATTGAAGTTTAATCTGGATAATTGCATTTGTCATACTTTGGAAAAAATTTGGGCAAAATTTCATGCAGATCTGAGCACTAAAAGTGCCCGAAAAAAAAGGGGCACATTGAAAAAAATGGCAAAATTTGTTTTGAAAAAAAAAAGTTTCAAAGTTAAAATTGAGTTTTTATTTTTGAAAGACATCATTAAATCTGATGAAATTTGACAACCAAAAAGAACAATCCTTCTTGTAGTGGCCACTGCCACTAAAATACGCTAGCGCCATAAGTTTGCCCTTCTCGGTTTTTTTGAGCCGAATCCTCACAGACTTTTCGCTCACAGACAGGGCCATGAAACGCTTGCCAAACTTCCGCTCCATCTTGCAGAGTCATGTGCCTACTGCAAGCTAGGAAGAAGTTCAACAGGACTGGGAAATCCAAACTAAGTCCAGTATCATGCCATTTTGCGGCCGTGCCTGTGCCACGTACCGTTGTACATAATGGCAATGTCGTCCCTGCTAAGTTTCCTCACTGTGAGCTCCTTCGACCTCACAAGATTGGCGCTGACGTCATTCATTGCCGCATCACGAACTTTCGGGCTGACAGGTTTGAATGACTTCTGATGCATTGGCATTTGTAAGCCAACAACTGCCACAAATCGTTCCAGCTGCTCGTAGCCTATTACTACAGAGCGCGCCGCACAACGGCTTTCACTTGCGAGCAATGGCTTTTTTCATTCATAATTACGCGAGAAAAGCATTGTTCAGCTGCGCTGCTCGACAAGACATGGACCCTTCCAATAGGCCTCACTGCACATATTGGCGCGCAGCGGCCAATGGCGGTTTCCCGATCCGTACCACGTGATAAGCCAGTTGCGGAGCTCGAAAAATACGCAAAGGCGTGCTTCTGTCAATTAATTTTTGCTCTGCATCAGCGAGGAAAACTGTTGTTATTTGAAGAGTGAGGCTCGACTCTTCGGCTCATGCGATCAACAATGGCAAGCGGCGGCGGCGCATTATTGGCGGCAAGGTGCTCGAAGACTGCACACTTTGAACCTTTTAACAGGCACATTGTGCTCTTTAGATGCAATTTGAAAGCATTTCCAGTAAAGTCTCGGCCTGTATTTTTTTTTTTTCATTAACAGTACAGGTACTAATCTTTCAAAACAGGCAAAAATAAAAAAATCGGTAATTTTGAAAAAAAACTCGCGTTTTTCGACCCGCAACTCCCCTTAAGGCTACTGCACGCTTTAAATAGGCGACTACTTGAACGGGCTGGGCCGTCGATTGCTGCCGCTTCATTGTGCGGGACCGTGTTCAAGTGCGTACCGCTCTACAGAAATGCAAGCAGCTCGTTGACGCGGAGTTCAGCCTGGCAGATCGTGGGCACCGAGAAACCTTTCTGTATAATGCCAACACGCGCTTTGTACAGCAAGTGTAGTGCTGTTGTAACCATGCTGCACGCTTTTATTCAGCGACTGCGCAAATGCTCCTTCGTCCGCTGCCAGCTATGACCGCTAGAGCATTGCAGAGAGCGCATTGCTTGCTAAAAGCTAATCGTCACCGCATTAACCCAGCAGGCCACTCGGCACATCTGTACATGGCCTGAAGCGGAGTGGCCGTACTCTACAGCAAGTGTATGGGCAGACACGGTGTGTGCTGAATAAGCACACACAGCTAGCCATGCAGTAAACAATTTGGCTCTCTGCAACCGTACCATTTTTCTTGGAAGCAGATTAGAGAACAACTGTATCACGGACAGCCGATTGTGTCCATTCTGTCACTATGGAAGGCTGGGTATCCCGGACCTTGCGCTAGCTTTGAAATGCTCCTCAGTGTCGCCACCACGTGCTATGTGGTGGTTGTGCAAGAGCCGGTATCTTTTCTGTGGTTTGGTAAAAAGAAAGAAAAGGCCTCACCGGCGTGGCTCAGTGGTAGAATACTGGGGCTGGTCCGCAGGAGACCCGTGTTCAAAGAAATGACCTTGAGGTGGGCACTTCATGCAATATTTCCTGTGGCACAGCATTCATTTTTTTTTTTGCCGACAATGGTGCATGTCTGAAGATGCAAATTTGTAGCTCATGGTTAATGCGTAGTACATTTAGTGCGTAGTTATGCCGCTGTCCCCAGCACGTATGTATTTATGGGGTTTCACTGTACTGAGCTTTAGATGTAGCATAAGAAAGTAGCCTACACAAACGTAGCCACTGCTGCTGAATGGGATGTGCTGTCATATTGCATTGCATGACATTGCAGGAGTGAGTTCATACATATGTGATATTATTATTATTATTATTATTATTAATAATAATAATATTATTATTATTATCGTATTTACTCGATTCTACCGCGCCCTCGATTGTAACGCGCACCCGATTTCCACCGCGAAAAAAAAAAAACAAAAAAAAAACGTAAGACATCGATTGCAACGCGCACCCATTTTTCTCGCTGGCCCGCACGATCACACCACTCGAAAAACGACTCCTTTCGGGAGCGTCTTCCATTTAAATATGAGGTACGGGCGAAGCTTGTGCCCATCTGACGTGTAACAGAGCATTGCCGTCACTGTAGTTTTACCGTGGACCGATGTCAGCACGCGAACTTGCTTCGCCCCGTTCTTCTCGACGGTTGTGGTGCCAGGCATGTCGAAGTAAAGAGGCGTCTGACCAGCATTCCCGATTTGCCCAAGCAGGTAGCCGTTGTTGCGCCGCAAGTTTAGGACGAACCTCTGAAAACTGTGAAACTTTTCATCGTACTCCACTGCAAAACTTTTCGCATATGCATGTTCCCCTTCGGAGGGAAAAGCCTTTCCTCTTCATAAAGTTAGTTAGCCAGCACCTGCTCGCTTTAAACTGACTCCGCATTAGACCTTTTTCTAAGACTAATTGCATAGCCCGCACTTGGAGCAGTTCTGTCGTCACGGGCCGCTGTGCCGCTCGCTGCTCAAGCACATACTCGCCGAGCAGCTCTTCATTTGCGGAAACCGACCTTGCTGTGGTCCACTGAAGCCTTTGCGTGAAGCTTTGCTGCCGACAATCTTCTGCTTTTGTTTCCGCCGGTCCCGCATGCACGTTTCGGGAACTCCGAACGACTGCGATGCGGCCCGATTTCCGTCCGTTTCTGCACACGCGATGACTTTTCTTTTAAAAGCGGCATCGTGGTGCACTCGAGTTTTTGGAGTCGGCCCTTCCACGCCGTCGATGCTAATGTACTACTAGATGACGAACTCCTCAGCACACGTACGAAGTGCCGCACATGGGAAACACATAAGCAGAAATGGCCGACACGCCATGCCGACGCACGTAGGGGGCGGCCATTTTGGATTTGCCGATGGCAATAGATTGACCGTAATTTTTTTTGTTCGTACTCGATTTTAACGCGCATGCGACTTATAAACTCGCTTAACCGGAAAAAAGGTGCGCGTTAGATTCGAGCAATTACGGTATTATTATTGTATTTTATATAAGCGAATGTATTACTTTGATGGCTGTTTTTTGCTGCTGCCAGGCACTGCTGCTCAAGCATTTGGCTTTGGCAGGCCCAATACTTGTATTACTTTATTGTGAAGTGGGCAGTTATTATTATTATATTATTATTAATAATATTACTGTTATTATGCAGTTGAAGCCCTTTATAAGAGGCGTGCTTTGGGCAGCAGTTCTTGTCTTTTATAGGTATATCTCTCTTATAAACGGGCTACCTTGTATGCATTTTTTTACCAACCCATTTACAGTAGGCGCATTGATCTCTCTTATGCCCATTTGTCTCTCACATCAGTGTCTCTTATAAAGGGGTTCAACTGTATTGCCACTCTCTTTAATACACATTAAAGTGGTCACTGTTTTTTTTTTTTTTTTTTTTTTTTTGTCCTTGCTTACAGGCCGCGCCCACCCCGACTGCACCCTAGGCCATCTACTCAAGGCACTCTTCAAGAATGATGAATTCATGAACAGGGTATGCATGCTCCCCTCCATGTGCGGAGGCATTAAAATGGGCCTGTAAAGGAAAGAATAAGCGATCTTGAAATTAAATTGTGTTGGTATTTCTGGGCACCTTATCTTCCATCAGATGGGCACATTTGAATTGGTGCTGCTACATGGCAACTGTTAAAGTTCAACTTTATGAACAACGAAATTCCATCAGCATATGGATGGTGGAAAATCTTCATAGGTAGGCTGGAAATAAGGACTTTTAAGAGGGTCTCCTATGAGAACCAGACAAAACAAGTTTAGTAATTTTAATTAGGTCAAGACTCTTTGCTTGACTGACCTTTGTGCCAAACTTTGTGCAGATTAGTTTGAATTGTGTTGTGGAAACCGTGATTGATTGCGATCAAGAAATTCGATCCGAATTTGATCCTTACTCATGATCAGAAGTGCCCCTTTGATGCCAGTATTTGACTGTGCTATGCTGGATACCACATATGCATGCTGTGTACAGCTACACACGTGTTCACCTGCATTTCTCCCGCAGTTGGTCAACCATTACGTGCTGAGCCGCGAGGGCGGCAACCTGAGCACCATAGCCTGCCGTCTCCTCCTGGACATTCTGCCGGGACTGGAAACGTCCGTTGTCTTTCAGGTATCGTTTGAAAAAATAACACGAATAGTAGTTCAAATTGTGTTTGCTATTTGGTTTGATTTGCACCAGAACTTTACTACTCGAAGTACACTGAAACCTCATTTTAACAAAGTTGCAACTTTCAAAAAAATATGTTCATTATGTGAGAAAATTAGTAAACATATTTTCCCTGCCATTATACATCTTGCAAAGCTATTCTTAATTTACTCCGTTATAACAAGGTTGGAGTGTATTGAAACTTCCTGTAGACAGATACAATGAACCCTCATTATAACAAAGTAGGGGGGGTGGCAAAAAATTTTGCTACGAGCAGTTGTTTGGTACTGGCAACTGCCTCTTAATTTTTCCGTTACCACGCCTATCCAAATTGATCACCGGTGATCGACGCTTTTGGATCATCGATTTTGGCATGTTAAATTCGTTTCTCGTGCACTCAGCCCTTTCTAGTAGTTAGTGCAGGCACTGAACTTTCAGAATCAATTTGAATTTGCCCGTTTCGGCAATATAGTGATTTTTGACAGTCCTTTGCCAAATCAATGTGTGTGTATTGTTGGAAAAGTGCACTAGGCTGGCGAACTTGACAAATGTGTGTGTCGTAATTATGGTACAGTTACATCAAAGTTCTGTAATGAAAAGAATCTTTGCAAGCCAAATATTTAATTAAAGTGTGAGCTTCACAATCTTACTGTGTTGAGCAGTAATGATAGCCACAAATTTATGTGATATATTCAATAGAAAGCTGTTCCTAGAAGTCAAGAAAAATTTGTTCTACAAAAAATATTTGCGAAGGTCTGCAGTGTGTTTAAAGTGTTGAGGTGGCCTCCTATAACAGTTTACAGCAGCTTTGGTTTTGCTTGCATTGTTACATCAGGCACAAGGTCGCATCTAGTGTCACTAGTCACTCCATTGATGTCGTCGTCACGCACGCATGGGTGCGCATGAACGCTAAAAAACACATGCGCTGCTCGAAACTGTCTTGCAACCTCACGTGAATTGAGTGACGATGAGCTTAGCGCTCAAGGAGGACAGCACCTCAGCTTCGAGTTTTATGGCGACGATGGTGCATGTCCGAAGATGCAAATTTGTAGCTCATGGTTAATGCGTAGTACATTTAGAGCATAGTTATGCCGCTGTCCCCAGCAGGTATGTATTTATGGGGTTTCAGTGTGTTGAGCTTTAGATGTAGCATAAGAAAGCCTACACAAACGTAGCCACTGCTGCTGAATGGGATGTACTGTCATATTGCATTGCATGACATCGCAGGAGTGAGTACATACATATGTGATATTATTATTATTATTATTATTATTATTATTTTTATTATTATTATTATTGTATTTTATAAAAGCAAATGTATTACTTCGATGGCTGTTTTTTGCTGCTGCCAGGCCCTGCTGCTCAAGCATTTGGCTTTGGCAGGCCCGATACTTGTATTATTTTATTGTGAAGTGGGCAATTAATATTATTATATTACTATTAATAATATTATTATTATTATGCAGTTGAAGCCCTTTATAAGAGGCATGCTTCGGGCAGCAGTTCTTGTCTTTTATAGTATATCTCTCTTATATACGGGCTACCTTGTATGCATTTTTTTACCAACCCATTTACAGTAGGCGCATTAGTCTCTCTTATGCCCATTTGTCTCTTACATCAGTGTCTCTTATAAAGGGGTTCAACTGTATTGCCACTCTCCTTAATACACATTGAAGTGGTAACTGTTTTTTTTTTTTGTTGTTGTTGTTGCTTACAGGCCGCGCCCACCCCGACTGCACCCTAGGCCATCTACTCAAGGCACTCTTCAAGAATGATGAATTCATGAACAGGGTAAGCGTGCTCCCCTCCATGTGCGGAGGCATTAAAATGGGCCTGTAAAGGAAAGAATAAGCGATCTTGAAATTAAATTGTGTTGGTATTTCTGGGCACCTTATCTTCCATCAGATGGGCACATTTGAATCGGTGCTGCTACATGGCAACTGTTAAAGTTCAACTTTATGAACAACGAAATTTTATCAGCATATGGATGGTGGAAAATCTTCAGAGGTAGGCTGGAAATGAGGATCTTTAAGAGGGTCTCCTATGAGAACCGGACAAAACACGTTTAGTAATTTTAATTAGGTCAAGACTCTTTGCTTGACTGACCTTTGTGCCAAACTTTGTGCAGATTAGTTTGAATTGTGTTGTGGAAACCGTGATTGATTGTGATCAAGAAATTTGATCCTTACTCATGATCAGTAGTGCCCCTGTGATGCCAGTATTTGAGTGTGCTATGCTGGATACCACATATGCATGCTGTGTACAGCTACACACGTGTTCACTTGCATTTCTCCCGCAGTTGGTCAACCATTACGTGCTGAGCCGCGAGGGTGGCAACCTGAGCACCATAGCCTGCCGTCTCCTCCTGGACATTCTGCCGGGACTGGAAACGTCCGTTGTCTTTCAGGTATTGTTTGAAAAAGTAACACCAATAGTAGTTCGAATTTAGTTTGCTATTTGGGTCGATTTGCACCAGAACATTACTATTCGAAGTACACTGAAACCTCATTTGAGCAAAGTTGCAACTATCAAGAAAATATGTTCATTATGTGGGAAAATATGTTGTGAACATATTTTCCCTACCATTATACATCTTGCAAGGCTATTCTTAAATTATTCCGTTATAATCAATATTTTGTTATATCTAGATACGTTATAACAAGGTTGGAGTGCATTGAAACTTCCTGTAGACAAATACAATAAACCTTCATTATAACAAAGGGCGGGGTGGCAAAAAATTTCGCTACGAGCAGTAATTCGGTATTGGCAACTGCCCCTTAATTCTTTCGTTACCACGCCTATCCAAATCGATCACCGGTGATCGACGCTTTTGGATCATCGATTTTGGCATGTTGAATTTGTTTCTCGTGCACTCGGCACTTTCTGGTAGTTAGTGCAGGCACTGAACTTTCAGAATCAATTTGAATTTGCCTGTTTCGGCAATATAGTGATTTTTGACAGACCTTTGCCAAACCAATGTGTGTGTATTGTTGGAAAAGTGCACTAGGCTGGCGAACTTGACAAACGCGTGTGCACCTCGTAATTATGGTACAGTAACATCAAAGTTGTGTATCGAAAATAACCTTTGCAAGCCAAATATTTAATTGAAGTGTGAGCTTCATAATTTTATTATGTTGAGCAGTAGTGATAGCCAGAAATTTATGCGATATATTCAATAGAAAGCTGTTCCTAGGAGTCAGGAAAAATTTGTTCTACAAAAAATATTTGCGAAGGTCTGCAGTGTGTTTAAAGTGTTGAGGTGGCCTCTTATAACAGTTTACAGCAGCTTTGGTTTTGCTTGCATCATTACATCAAACACAAGGTCGCATCTAGTGTCACTAGTCACTCCATTGATGTCGTCGTCACGCACGCATGGGTGTGCATGAACGCTGAAAAACACATGTGCTGCTCGAAACTGTCTTGCAACCTCACCTGAATTGAGTGACGACGAGCTTAGCGCTCGAGGATGACAGCACCTCAGCTTCAAGTTTTATGGCGACGATGTTTTGCATCAGCCTGATACATCCACAGTCGTTCATGGGTTTGTTTTGTTTACACCCTCAAGTAGTTTCCTCCGCCGCAAGTGCGTATAGTTTCTAACCTTTGCACACAATCTTATAGCTACTCTGGTTACGTGTGTGGTCCACACTTCGCTGGAGCGCTGTGGGCTGGCGTTCGCTGCAGAGATTCTCCTAACTAGAAGGCTCCCGAAGCGCATCTTGGCCCTGACTACGAAGCAGTGCAAAACGTTTTAGAACTGCGGCGGTATTGTACTTTTTTTAATACGATATGTGCGAAAATCTAAAAAAATATGCTTGGATGCATATATTGGAATGCCAACCTATCCGGTGTAAGGTGTCTCATGGGAAGAGGCGACACTAGATGAAATAGCGAAGTTCATTGGGCATCTCATTTATAGAGGGCTTATTCACATTGTGGGCATCCATCTACCTCTATTGAAACACAAGGTGACTCTTATCGCAACACAACAAAAATTTTGTGAGAAAAAATGTGCAAGTACACTTGTGTCTCACAAAAAACCATGCAATGCTTCACAACATGGCACGAGCAACGAAGCAGCACCTCGGTTCTGATTTTCTTTGTCTGTGTAAAGAGAAACATTTTGTACAACATTCATTATTTTTATACTATTCCTGGGTCATTTATCTACAAAATTTGTACAGTCGAATCTCGATTATTCGAACTCGAAGGGACCCAAAAATTTGTTCGAATTAAAAGAAGTTCGAATTAATAAAAGCTAAATAAACGGAGGGCTCTCCATGCAGTGGCGCATGCGCATTTAGCTAACATACGAGGGCAGAGTTTCAGAAGACTTGCATTTATTCACAAATCGCAGGACATCTGTTATTAATTGAAGTAATCGGTGATGTACGTCTGCGCACGTTTGCCTTACAGCGGGTCAATCAATTTTGCATACAGCTTGCAAAGCATTTTTACTTCGGCTTCAGCATTCCCCTAGCAAGAGAAGTTGCGCGCGGAAACGTTCAGCACCGACACTTTCTAAAGACTACGACAACGACTGCATAGCGGAGCCTTTTGCCGCCGCAGCATGGCCAGCACGGGACAAAAAAGGAGGAGCGTCTCCACGCAGAGAGAAGCAGACCAGCGTTTGAGAGAAAACCAACACTTCACGGCAGCTTGATTTATTATTATTTTTTTTTTTTTTTTGCTCTATTCGGGCATCGTTGAGAGGAGAAGGGTTACGTGGCAGGGACGGAATAAGGGGGAACGTGGCACCAGCATGTGAGAACCCCCCCCCTCTCAAGGCGCAGAGCCGTGATCCCGCAAAGGGCAAGAGCTGCAGAAGATAGTGCCTTTTTCCTTTCCTTCAATCACACATTCATTCAACCCAGCTACAGCTTTTTCTCTCTCTCTCTTAGCATGCAGCATTGAAAGGAGAAGGGTCTTTACGTGGCAGGGACGGAAGAGGGAGAAGCGTGACA